ATGTCCACAGAGTCAGACAAGAGCCCCAATGGGGTCTGCAGTTTTGTGTTTTGGTTTTTTTTTGATTTTCGAGGTTTTTGCATGGTCTGCTCCAGATGGCCAGAACCTCGAAAATCAAAAAAAACAAAAAAACAAAACTGCAGACCACATGTCCACAGAGTCAGACAAGAGCCCCAATGGGGCTGTATACTGTTGTTATCATATCAAATTGCCCTTTACTCTGCGAAATCCATGTAGAACCCTTCAAAACCTTGCAAAATCAAGATTTTCACATCTCCCCCCCCCTTACCCCCCGCTCTCTTAATATATTGTTCATCCTATGAATATATATCATTTTATTTTTCTATAATTATCAAAAAGTTGCAATAATTTCAATTTTATCCGGTCCGGCGTCATCTTCCCATTAATGGCCGGTTCATTCCTTTGTCAAAAGCCCATATCGGCATCTGATAGTCGATGTCATTTTTCATCAAAAATATTAGAACCTTTATATTTTTAGATTTCTTTACAAATTGTAATATAATTTATCCGTATATATACAAAGACAATTATTATCGAAACCTTCCTTCATCCATCATTGCATATACGAATAAATTAGCATCATATAACGATCAAAAATTCATATCGTTAATATCACATTCATCAAAAAAATCAATATTTCTGAAGTTTTAAGCATTCCCATCATTATTCCGATTTATGCCATTAATACAATTACGAAATTGAATATACACCCATATCAATTTCAACGATCTATATCCCTTTTTATTCATAATAAAATATCAATAATATCGAAAATAAGTTAAATCAAAAACTAAAATATATCGATATATCTTCTTTATTCCATAAGATAGAATTTGATTATCCCCGTGCGAATTTCAGGTGAGGGTTGTGCTCCCCATTCTATAGTCATAAAATTGGGACACCCAATCCTGGGGTACCCCACAAAACTCTATAGAATCAAAACCTCTAGAAGATCGAGGCGGCCCCTTAACATCAGAAATGCCACAAGTGCCCAAGATGAACCTATATAAAATGAATAACCAGCATCTGGGTAGGATAAGAGGTCGAATTTACTTTTAAAAAACGCAAAGTGTCAATTTGTCGCTATATAAAACATACATGAACAAATTCATTATTCCCATGACGTTCTATACAATGAGAATCACTAGCCTCTACAAAAACAACACCCTCTATAGAATCAATGCAACCGATGCGACTAAGACTGAAGACTCTATTGAATTCAATTCAGTGAACATAGTGAACAAGCAAAATATCCTCTATAAAATCGAAGACACTCTCTATATATAGAATCAACAACTTCATGAATCAAGGCTAAGTTCTAACATCCAAAAAATGATCATTTTCTGATATCATGCAAATGATACTGATAATGGAGGCTTTAATTCTATAGAGAAGCTACTCTCTATAAAATGACCTCAAAATTGGGTGGTCGACCTCCCCCTTTTTATAGAGGAAATTAGCAGGAGGATATTTGATTAATATATATATATTGAATTAAATAATTATATCGAATAAATTGAAAATATATCGATATAAATTCTTTAAACATATTATTTTATCGAATAAAAATCGAAACGAACATCAATCTCCAAAAATATATAAATATAAGAATATCTTTCAAATCGAATACGTATAAAAAAATCTATCACAAAAATTAGAATAAAGAATAATAAGGGCGTCCCTAATCTTGTTATTTAAGACAAGATTTAAAAGATATCCCTAAATTAAAAAAATATATTTATCTCCGTCTGTACGACAGGTTATTTATCCCCGTCTGTACGACGGGTTGGCTTGAATATTCAACAATATATAAAATGTTAGAAATAGATGAAATCAAATACGAATTCTATATGTATTATCCTATATGACAAATGATCTTTTTAAGGATTAAAATTACTATAAAATCGTTCTACTCCAATCTATTAAAAACCATCGATGAAAAATATAATCCAAAACATTTTCCTAGGAAACCTCCGACCTGTATTTATATTTTCTGGGAAGGATCGATTAAAATATACGAGGGATTTTCCAAATATAGGATTTATTGAAATATTATTATTCTTTCTTTGGGCATATGCTAAGATTGGACGTTATAACGTATAAATAAATGAATTATTGTGAACATCAAACTATTTAGGTTTTTTGAAATAACGATCCTAATCAATTCTTATTTATATAGATTGATATAATTAATCATTTGAATCATTTGGATATGCAATTCTTATGAATCTTGGGGAATTATCTATCATTATCAAATTTATAAAGAAATATATATTGACGATGAATTTACCAATAAATGGATATTGAATATTTATATTTTCTAAATTATCCATAGAATTTCATCATAGGATA